TCTCTCTCTCTCTCTCTCTCTCTCTCTCTCTCTCTCTCTCTCTCTCTCTCTCTCTCTCTCTCTCTCTCTCTCTCTCTCTCTCTCTCTCTCTAGAATCAGGAAGAAGGAGCTAGTGGCTATGGAAAGTCCAAGGAATAATCAGTGAGAAGACGACGAAGAAGAAGAACTCTCCTCTCTCTCCCCTGATGGTGATGATGATGTCCACGTATACTGACCAGCGAAGGTGACGACCTGAGCAGGTCGTGGATGAAGGACAGTCCTAGACCGGTATGAAGTCTCAGCTATGGCGCCCAGGTAAGTCCCTCTCAGGCTCTCACCCTCGTGGCTATCCTCCGTCCTCTCCTCTCCAGAGTACTCTCCTACTCCTCTATGCTACTACTCTAACGCAGCTCTCCCGGAATAGCCCTGCTGCACTCGAGCAGCTTGACAGCCAACTGGTGCTCCAGCACTCTGCCTCCAAACTGAGGAGTGGCCCAGCTATGTACAGCTGGGTCTGGCTGTGCTGCCCTTGGTCTGCAATGAGGACCATTAGATCTAAAGCCCGGCTGCAGGCCCAAATCCTGGTCCTGCATTGCTGGCCTAACACGGCCTGCCTGGGTCCCTACCAGACATTCACGCGGCCCTGCTGATGCAGCAGGGCTGGTACTGAATGGACGAGGACTGGGCCAGGCACTACAGACAAGTGCCTGGTCTTGTCCAGATGTGACAAAAATGTATCTGCCGTACAATGGCCAAAAGTGTGGTCCCCACCTGGTCCGAACAGGCATTAGGGCCTCGCCACACCACTGTCCAAACGAAAAAAGTTTTGAGTGCATCGTCACGCAGAGCGTGGCAAGATGCATCCGTTACTATGAATAGCAACGGATGCATCTTACCACTTTCTGGGGTAGATGCATTCTTTCTTTTTTCGTTTCGACAGTGGTGTGGCGAGGCCCTTAGTTCTTGTTCGGACAAAAGGAAAGTCGGAGACGTCACTCTACCTGAACAGAAAATATCAGACCGATTAGTGGTGGGAGTGCTATATGCTTGTAGTCAGCAGAAGGGCGACTAGGAAGCAAACTTGAACTGTATCCATGGTGATCCTCTTCATTGATTGTTGTTCTTATTCAGGATCCAAGGTTGCGAGGTGGGAAAACCGTCTAGGCGGTTCAGGCTTCCTTCAGGTGGAATTCCATTTACAATAAAAATTGTTTTCATAAAGTATTTTGCTGCTAAATAGTACACTTGGTAGGTTTAGTCTTTTGGTGGTCATATCTTGGGGTTCTACTTTTGTTGGGTCAAGAATTTTCCTTCCTTGGAAAACACGTTACACATCTTCCACTCATGACGACTATGGTCTTGTAAGGCAACACCA